TAATTAGTGCATGGTACGCCCAGATCGAAACATTACAAGAGCGCATTAGATTGTGGGAAATTCACTGTTTATCAACGCAAATGTCGCACATGCGCAGCGCGCCGACCACCACCTTTTAACAATATATGCTTAAGTTGAAAATGTTAGCATTCCCACAAGAAAATGTTTAGCATAGTCACCGACAATTTGACAAACATCAACACAAGCAAGGCTGAAAAGAGTATCTACCTGGACCCGGCAGACGTAGGCCTTCCTTTGCTCTTTCTCATACTTCCTCGACCACCTTTACTGACAGCATCAGAGACTAACATATACGTCTGTGGTGGTTGTACATAACCCCATCCATTATGAACACCAACTTGCAGACGTCTTTCATTGATATGTACAACATTAGCATCAGATGGTATGTCATCCTGAAAATAAAAACAAAAGGCATAAGAAAGTGAGACATTGAGGGCGCATTTTCAGTAGTAAAAAGTGACACAGGACGTGAGTTTAATTTTAAAAGTACATTGTAGTGCTTTTAGCTGAAAACATTTCAAGATAATTTCATTATTCATTCAGCACAATTAGGATGGATACTGAATTGGCTTGAAGCTATTTTTATATCTACTTTCAAGAATTCTCCTTACCCTTGCCAGCCTATCTGCATTCAATAATTTACAAAGTTCTTCTTCAAATTTTTCAATGGTTGGATAGAGATATATTTGTAATTTATCTAGTACACAGGATATTTTATTTGTTATTAGTCTTGGTTTTCTTAGAATGTCACCACCTGTATAGGAATTATATGTATTTGCATGTGTCACTAAAATAATAATAATATCCACCTAATTCAAACAAGTTATAAATTATATAAAAGTACAGTCAAACCTGTGTTAGACCACCTGCCTATAAGTTTTCATTCTTGGTACAAATTTTTGGACACCAGCAGCCAGAGACTACCCCATTTACTCAGTTATATTCTTATTCATCTGTCTTACAGGGACAGGCATTTTCAACATTTTCCTGTCACAGCTAAAATTTGACTGTTTGGGGACAGGTGGACAAGCCTTGACCTTTTTTTTATCAGAAGTTCCCTATTTTCATCACAAATTTAAAAATAGTCCCATTTATAGTCTGCTCTTTCCTTCAGAAGATTAGGACAAAAATAGCTGAATTTTTGGAGTAAAAAACTAAAAATCGACTCAAATTTTATTCGTTGGCTCCAAATTAGGGTTTATTTCCATTGAAGAATATAAGAAAAATATGCAGACAAATTTGGACGAGAAAGTCTGGTGGGGAAAAGGTTAATTTTGACCCCTGATAATGAATGTTTTCTTACCATCTTGTGAATACAATCCTGGTATAATTGAATTACTACCAGCTATGATGTTTTCTGGTAACAGATGCATTACTTTGCGAAGTAATTTATGTGTTCGTATCACATAACATAACTGACATTCTGCTATCAGCGTAATCTTCTCATTTTCTAGAAGAAAACACAATAAAATAGATTAAATTATTGTTCATTATCATAGAAGTAAGTGATGTAGCTGTTTTGAATGTGTAAGTTTTTAAATCATTTTAATTTTGCTTGAAAAACTTTTGTGAAATCTTTGTCAGTGAAAATATAAATATCATATTATTTTGTCTTTCCAAATACCATAAAATCCTGAAATAATGAATAATTCTAAAAGTAAAAATTAAACAGTACAGTATTCTGAGGACTATTTTGAATTAAAAAGTAGTTAATTTAGACTAGCATAAGTAACTATCTACTCGATTCTGTGGCAATTATTAGATTTTTAACTTCAAATTTTGAAACAAGGGTGTTCTATAAATATAGAATGTGCTTTATTTTGGACATAAGTGATTGCAGAGAAAATGTATTGTAACTGTACACTTGAGCAAATGATGACCATTAGAATTTCAAAGAAGTCAATTTATACTATTCTTAGTATCTAAATATTCATTCAATTTTGCAGCAATCATGCGACTTCCAATATGAAACATTCTTTGTTCTGCTGGAAATGTAGGAAGAATAATAATCAAACATAATTCAAGGAGAGTTATGTCTGTCATTCTGTGTATTATGTTTTAGATGATAAAATACATTGCATGGCATGAATTACATTTTCAAAGTTAGTTCTTTTTTTTAATGTAAACATGTTCCCTATTGAGCAAAGTTAACAAAGTTAGAACGTAACAAAGTAGTGTAAGACGCTACTCAAGCTACTGAAAATAAGCATATATGTTAAATATATAATGCAATAAAAATCACAAAACAGATGAGTCTTGAATGAGTGGTGTACTTTTAACCCTTGCAGTGCCATAATTTTCCCTCACAAAGTTTGGTGCAATGTTTTGCTATATTTTGTGTATTTTTCTATAAATCATTGAATAATTTTTGACGAAATGGACATAAGATTCTATTGGCTACAGGTCTAGATTTAAAATTTTAAAAACCAAATAAAAAAACATTATATGAATAATATTTTTAAAAAGATGTCAAAAGTTAACTTTTGCATTCAAAGAGTTAGAATATGCAGTGAACTGTAATTAATTCAATTAGTTCTGAGTCAAGAATGTCTTGTTAGTTGCACAGGTAGTATAAGACTTACTTTCAATATCATCATCTAAATAAAGTAAAGCTCTGG